ATAAGGTGATGCAAGAAGTTTGTCGACTCATCAACCAGAAAGAGGCTCCTTTTGTGGTCGGATGCGTGACTGCAACACAGAGTATGGACCACGGACTTGCGGCTAGTCCGCAGGCCAGGAAGTTTCTTCAACTACCAAGCGTGACACAAGTCACCGTGAACAAAGTGGATCAGATCCCACATCATCCTTTGAAGCATATCTTGGTGATGGACATGGGTGGTCACGGCAGAGCTTTGGAGTGCTTGGTCAATGCGCTGAAAAAGATGGAGTGTGCAGGTGGTGATGCTGTTGTGGGTGCAACAATGCAGCAGCTCAACGAAAAGTACCCACAAGCTGGACTGTTAGGCCGGTCAAATTCACACAGTTTTGACGACTGCGACATCAAGGGCATCCTGCGTGCCAGTCTATCTGGCAAGTGGACAGAAGTGGGCAAGGCCATTGAGAAGGTAAACCCAGAAAAGATGATGCTTGTCCGCCTCGAGTACAACTCCACTCGAACAGAGTACCGCATTCACTTACCATATGTTTGGCTTCACATGATGCTGAGCAGACACAACATGGCAAGTGATTTGCAGCCTTGGCGCTTGATGGACTACAGCAGTTTCATGAAAGGTCCTCCGATGGATGGAACGGAATGGGAGCTCTTCAATGCCAACTTCAGGGTGTTGCGTTCACATGCTTTCACCAACGAAGAAGAAGTCTCAATGGCATCTTTGCACAGAGGGGCGATCCTCAACGAATCGTTGAAAGACTTGAACATTACAAACAAACATTTGAAGCTTGCAACAGCCAAAGCTAGGTGTTCATCGAGGTCTTCGTGCTGCGGCAATCCCAAGCCAAAGACAGAATCGGATGACAAGACTCCAGCTCAAGGCTTACGGGCTCACCAGTGCAAGGCTGTCCAGGATGGAAAGGAGATCACGGTTACAATGACTGACAAGACCACCCTTCTTCTGAATGCAAAAGGGGCTCCAGCTGCTGATGCTTTCGTGATGTTGGAACAGGTGAATTCTGATGGCAAGAAAGTGACGATCTCTGAGTGTTTGCAAATGAAGCATGGACAGACAGCAGCCCATTTGGAAGACGAGTTCAAAGAAGCATGCGACGAGGGGGACATCCTGGTTCTGCTGCAGAACACCTCCGGCAAGGCACCAACTAACAAGAACATTCCTATTGTATTTGTGTCAGCAGAGCAGTTTGAGGCATATTACGGCTTGTATGCTGGACGGGCATTCAATGCAGCTCGTTTCACTGCACCAAGTTGAAAATTGTGTGTGAAGTCGCTTCCATGGCAGGTTTCTCTACAATCCCATGCCAGCATCGCTATGCCCCAAGAATCTTTTGGACTTTGCCAAAATCATTTGCCACATTGAAGCGCATGAGTTTTGAGAACCTCCTGATGGCGATGAAGTATTGATTCGAGAAATCTGCGCGAGCACCGAAACAGCTGCACTGTGGCCGTTTTGGTTCCACTTATGTTCTGTGCGTTTTCGTGCGAGCACTTCACTAGCCAATTTCGTTCATTCAGTACCTTTGTGGAAGACCCTCTTGTCAATCTAGACTCACTTGTCAGTCTAAAAGTTTTTTTGTTTTTTTTTGAAATGCGAGTGTGGTTGCACGTCTCTACAGTTTGTTGACTTTTTGATGCTTTAGACACTAAGAAATTTTAAAGCATCATTCTGGAGTCCCATTGATTGCATGAACATGGCTCTATTGGAGTGATTTGGAATGCGGTCAGCCTTGGGAGAGACCTCGTTCACATGCAACAAGCCAACATAAGTTTACAGCTAATAAGCTAGTGATACGTTTGCCGTTCTGGTCCCACTTTTCGGTTCTTGCTCCCACTTTGTTCCTACGCTTGTCCCAATTTGGGGTTCTTGTTCCCACGTTCCCACTTTGTTCCCATTTTTGTCCCACTTTGGGGTTCTTGTTCCTATTTTGTTCCCACTTTGTTTCCATTCTTGTCCCACTTTTTGGTTGT